GAGCGATCAATACGGCCGGCCGAGCGAGCTGAGCAGTCAAAGATGGCGGCCCGCCCACGCCGCGACGCTGGTGGTGCTGCGGAATAGCGGGTCTTCCCCGTTAGGGGCCGCCACCGTCCAGGGCGAAGGTGGTGAAGCCAAGCGGAAGCCAAGCGAACGCGGATGAGACGAACGCGGTGGTTGGCGCGCGCGGCACGTGGGTGAGCATGCACCGCGCACGTGGCGGCGCCTATAAAAGCCGCTGCACGAACAGAATTCGGGGAATGCTCTCCTGACTCCAGACGCGACCGCCTGTATATCTGTAACTGTGAAGCAGTAGTGAACCAAATTAAACAACATCAGTCATGGTATATATTCTTTGACTTTCTCTTATCTATATCTTTTGGCTACGAATATAACCTCACAATCTATAACTATCCAGTAACGTAAAAGGCTGCGTTACAGACTGACAAATTTGAATAGTTATGTTAAACATGAAAACGGGTCATGATGTCACAATTTCTGACTGGAACCTCATCTTGTAACCTTATTTACAACATTGAAATTGAGAAAAATTAATTTTGTAATTTTGTACTTTCTTTAATAATGTAATCAATTTTTTTTTTGGGTTTCAAAAGGGGGGGCACGGGCCGGATGTGCCCCATCTAAATCCGCGCCTGCCCACACGTATTTGTTACCAGATACCTAATTTAATTGTTATAATTAATTACACATCAACGCTACGAAATTTGAACGGCGCCATGCCACCCGCGACCGTGCTGCCACCCCGAAAAAGTTGCATATTTGACAATTTATTTTGCACGTTACAGACCGAGGCCTAATCACAAAAGTGCAATTATATTTATACCTAAATGCTATTTAACCGAACGATATTCATTTTAGGGCAAATTTATCCATATTATAACAGAAACTATATGTCGTTTATAAGATATTACAATCCTTTTGCTTTTAAATGAATAAATAAGAAACACCATCGGTCTGTAGCCCTTGGCTGGAAAGTGGTTTTGCACAACTTATCAGATCGTGCGCTTTGAGTGGCGCCACCGTCGTTGTAATCAAACTGTAGTCGTTAGTTTTAAAACATTAAAAATATATTTCTAATGGTGATTGAACCATAAAACTTTTTATATAGCGTAAGTATAACCTAAATTAGCTGAAAATAACCCTAGAACCTAGAGTAAACTCTCCCTTTAAGGAGTGATCATCATTTGACGAAATTCGCAAAAGGCTAATATTTGTGAGTAAGGTTGACCATGCGTTACAACAGCCCCCACATGCATCATATATAGCACGGGGGCATCATTATGAAGCTTGGGTCACTTAGAGCACTTAATAAGGAAACTTTTGGCCAATTTTGTTAGCTCTAGCTACAATATTGGGCGAGTGAGAAGCAATTATACTTGGAGCTACTTTCAAAGTGACAGCGATTTTTGTCAATTTGTTGGCTAAAATTGAGCAATATGTAGACATTTCGTACCATGAAACAAAGTTTATGGCAACAATTCATGCAAGAAAGTTGTTAGTAATACTTATTCGATGTAATTCAGTGCAATTTGAAAGTTTATGGTTGCTTAATAAAGACTTATGCTCTGAAACTTCAATATTGTCATTTTTTCAATTTGGCATCTAACCGAAAATCACATGAGCTGTAGAGAAATGAAAGTGTCGATGACACTGTAGCTCACCACAAAAAAGGACACAAATGAGTGAGTAAGAAGAAGTCAGTTTTAATTGAGCAAACATCGACGTACATTATAGAAACGATTGCCATCTGTATATCGCAATAATAATTTATAAACCAAAATGAATCACAATTTGTGACCGTAGATGGCGCTATACCCGCTTTGTAGTGATGGCGCTTGAAATATATAGGTTATGCTGCGTTCCGACATGTTTTGTAAATCTTTACTCTAATATAGACGTTTTATCGACAGAGTGGAGAGGAAATACCAATTTTGCATTAAAGATATTGTCAATGAAATCTTGTAAAACGAACCAGACGAGTGTGACACCACAGACTGTTTATGTTTATATTATATGCTATATAATTGCCAAACCCTACCTAATTTGCATAATTTGTTTTTAAATATTGAAACCCCTAAGCCCTAATTCATTCACATACCAAAAATGAGCAAAATCCGTTGAACCTGAACTGGCTAATGGCAATTCCCATTTTTGCCAAAAAATTGCCGTGGCTCGAAAGTACGTCGACTGACGTGCTTCAAAATAGGACGTTCCATATGGGAGCATAGCAGTAACAACTACACCCAATTTCAAACATGTGGGTCAAACGGTTCCTGAGTTATCGTTGACCGAAACCAAATGTTGACGGACGGACGGACGGACGGACGGACGGACGGACATACGACGGACGACGACCCCATGGCAATAGCTCAACTTGACGATGTCAAGGTAAGCTAAAAAACGTACTTGACCTGAAGGTGTTACCCAAACTTTTTTTGAGTTAAGGAATTCCATAAGGAATGAGAAAATATAAGGTTTTGCTCTAAAAGAGTCATGTGCACGAACCCCCCCCCACCCCACCCAGAGACAGGAGTAATTGTAGTATCGTCAATGTGTACGTCATCTGTATGTTGATGAAGGCATTATGGGGGCAGATCACAGAAGCTTAAGGCTTAGTTAGGGTTGGGAGGTGATTTTCGGTCGAAATTTTAATACCCACAATATTTGATAGATCGCACACATGGGCAGCTATGTGTACGTAGAAATTATGTATGTAGCCTCCCAAACAGTTCCAAATCCCTGCATTAGTCAATTCTTAACACAGGCGTTCAATCATGGAAAATTTAGAAAAGTGCTAATATCTCCATTGTTAGAAATGCTCGTGGCAGATTTTTCAAATGCTATTTCTCGATACTCACAACTCCGATTCCAAATTTTTTGTTTCGTTTCAATGCTAACATATCAAAGGAAAAAAGGTTCCCTGGAATTGTTTTAAAATATTAAATTTACATAAGTTATGGCTCTTTGTTTACGAAATTGTCGCGTTTTGAAAACCACTACAAATTTGCGTACATCTTACTTATTTCCTAAATGAAAGCATTAAAAAAAATTTGTTTAGTTCATATTATTAACAACTTATGATTAAAAGTTTAGGTCCCAACTTTGCTGTTTCTTAGAAATAACACAAAAAACATTTTTTTTGTATAAATTCACAATTTTTGCCATCACTTAATTAACAATGAATTATTATTTTTTAATTGAGAGAGTAGAGAGACATCTCTCTTATGTAATGAATATGAGTTTGATTGAATTTGCTGAGCAGTTATGTTGCAATACCCTTTACAGTGCTACCCGTCAGTAACCCTAACAGTATCCTTAAGAAGTTTATTGACCACAATGTGGCATAAATGCTATTTTCGACTGCACAGCAATTTGAACTATTGACGGCTGTATAGTTACGCTTGTATAGTAATAGTAGGATTGAATTAGCTAATAGATTCTAGCATAATGAATACCATGGGCAGGCTGGATGAATCATGTCTCAGTAAATGTAAATGTAAATCAGTAATGGAATCAGTAAATCGTCATCAGTAAATGTGGCTAAATGGCATGGCTCACTACACACGTATGGGGGGGAGGGGACCAAAACGCTCTGATAGTTCACATGCATCGATGTATGGAGAAAAAATCATGTACGTAGGTGTGAGATATTGTGACATGTATTATTATGGATTGAGACGTGCTGCCATCGGGTGGTCATCTTTGTAACTTTTGCAATGTTCTGTTGTTTTGAATGTAGAAAATAAAGCGTGGCGGCAGTGGTAGACCTGCCTCGAACCTAAATAGAAATTGAGCCTCCGTTGCCTAACATGATGGATTCTTACAAAACCTAACATAAATAAAGCGTGGCGGCAGTGGTAGACCTGCCTCGAACCTAAATAGAAATTGAGCCTCCGTTGCCTAACATGATGGATTCTTACAAAACCTAACAGTAGGTGACACCTAGTGTTAGCCATCGAATATGAATTGAAATTGTAATTTAATTTCATGTAATTTCGCATGAACTTTGAGTGTATCCTTATGTGTTATATCCCCATCATCCATGTATCACTCAGACATGCAGACATCGTTACTCCGGCAACCACTACATGGTATCAGGTGTCCTAAAATTAGTGTATGTTAGTGAAGTGGCTACTCTCAGAATTGGCAATATTCCCATTTCACCTACTCCCATTGTACTACAATGTACATTGTACAAGTTGTGTTCTCATTATTTGTACCCACGTTTTCTTCTGGTTCCTGTAGTCTATGTATGCCAATCAAAACCATATTTTATTCTTTATAAATGATTATTTAGTGAACAAACCGATCGTAGACGAAATGGGAATTGGGTAGATTTTGAGCGTAGACGAATTGGGAGTAGGCGAAATGGGTGTAGGCCAACTGGGAATTTTGGGGCAGGCGAAATGGGAATTTTGCCGTAGGCAAAATGGGAGTAGGCCAACCGGGAATAAACCATATTGGCGGCTATGGTGACTTTTTATTTTGCCGTGTACTACAGAGTAATGATGTGCTGTAATCATTCTCATCGAATCATAATCATATGTTGCAGTACAGTCCTGTAATGGAAACCAAAGGGGCTAGACTAGTAGAGCTAATAGAGAGGTCATGTAGTTAATTCATACAGACACGTAATTAATTCGAACTCAGTTAAAAATTGCAGGCTTCTGTATCACATCAAATTCAATCACCATACTCGCATGTTCCTACTTTGCATTGGTAAAATTATCTGCTACGAACAGAACTATAAGCATAGCCACGAAAACATAGCAAATATACTGTATGATGAAGGAGAATAATGTAGAATAAACATCTTAATATGGCATGGATATCATTTTACTTCCGGCGAAAAAAACTAGAAATTAACACTGAATAATCAACGTCACCTGTATCAGGAATATATGCACACAGATAGCACACAAATACTGGTTGTTTTACTTAGATAAGAAAAACTTGACCCGTAGGTGAACACTTACATATCATCTACAGTGACTTCCTTTAAAATCTGACAGTAGTCAACGTTCCACACTGCCTGGTCATCCCAAACTTTAGATGCTAGCAGAATAGCACCAAGCACAATTCGCTTCCACGTCGCTGGCATTATGTCGATCTCTGCATATGTCAGCAGTCTTTCTACATAAACCTGATGATAAAATATCTATTAAAAAACTGAAATTAATACGAGTTATGCAATTACGCTGTTACCCCACATAAACTGAACTTCATATGGTGTACACAATGAAACTAAAGCAGCGCACACCTTACTCCTCTCTGATTAAGTAATCACGTATCTCAGTAAGATTGGAAATCAATTTTTCAAATCAAATGTGAAGGTTCAATCTCACATTACTCTACTTTGACAGCTATTGGGACACAATGTGTGTAGTAATTAACCAATCAATGAATCCACACAATAGCCCATGACTAATAAACACAACTAGTACTGAAATTCAACAACTACCACTTACGATACTCACATGACGAGATTAAAGTCGGTGTTAATTTGTTTATATTCAAAACAGTGTAGTCATAATATGATCACACTTACACAATGTATGCAAACTTCATGAATTTATTCTGCACCACATATACTAATACTAGGCTATACATAATACTATTCTAATACATGTACTAGATAACACACTACATAACGTCTAAAAACATGTATGTAAAGCTGTCCAATCAGCTATCCATTATATCTATGGATGGCTGATACATGTGACACTTTTCTTAGTTCAGCTCAAATTTGTTTTTCGGCATGCTGCACGAAGGCTCTGAGGTTCTGGTCGTGGTTTCCTTTCATGTCACCTGCGATGCTGCTGACTCTGTCAAGTCCATCAATGATCTCGTCCATATGTCTTGCCTTAGCAATATCTTCCAAACGGTGTTTGGAATGTGGTGAGTAACTACAAGTCAGGGTGTGGCCTTACACTCCAGTGCCCAGATTTGGCATTAAACTTACTGAAGTATTTCGCACTGGTAAATGTGTGGTTTGTCAATTCCAGCATTGGAATTTTATGATGGAGTGGTTTATTTAGGTGCCTTGGATCAAGAGAATGGACTTATGCATCGTGTTCTTGAAGGTTTACACCATAAGTACGCAATCATCTACTTATTGCCGGTGAACCAAACAAAATCGCGGCAATACAAAAGATCTCAACTGTTATACTGGCGGTCTCAACAAAAACAGCAACTTGAGTACGTCAACATTTGGGACGAATAGGTTGTAGGGAAGAGTTATTAATGATTATACTAAGATATAGCTAGACCACTGACACAGCTTACGCACAAAGACATGACTTAAAAAGCAGCAAACGCCATTTTAAATCTTATAAGAAATGCATGGCAGAACCACCAATTTTGGCCATGGCAGATATGGATACACCATATACACTTTATTGTGATGTGTATGGTCAGGGGCGGATCAAGGGCTGAAGCTACAGTATTTTTCCAGATTTTAAGAGCACATCCCCCAAAAAGGACACACCACCCCAACGTGGGCGCCGTTAAGCGCGGAAGCACATGGCAGGGGGTCTGAATTTCAAAATTTCAAGGGTCCCTGGGCACAAAAATGAGCACCATTTGAGCACACATTTAGTCAAGCAGCAATAGCTAAAAACCATATGGAATTTTATTTCTGCTTTATATTGCCTGCGCTTTGCATAGCAGCAATTAATGCAGAATGATTCAAGCACTTCCCTTCTTTTACAGATATCCAAGCTAGTTTTGTTACCATGTAAAATTTTGATTTCCTTCAAGTCCTGTCAATGAATCAGAAGAAAAAAAAACAAATAAAGAATATTGCCAAATTCTATCAAATTGTTTTCTGTATTTTTTAGCGCAAAATTTCGAAGGGCACTTTGAAATCTAGACCGTATTTCCCAATACGGCAAATACGGTCTGAATCCGCCCCTGCTGGTTATGCGTTAGCAGGCGCGTAGCCAGGATTTTATTTTGGGGGCGGCAATGCAGACTAGTGAAGTGTGGCGAATCAGGGCCGTGAAATCCGTACCCGAGGAGCTGGGGGGGGTATGCATCGGCGATAGCCATCACATACTAGCACGACGTAAGCCCACAATAATTACACTGCTCCGGCGCCCCAGGCGCGGCGCATTCGCGCCCAGGCACAACATACATACACACCACACACACAGGGCGATCCAGAATTTTTGACAAGGGGTGTCCAGAAGAAATAAAGGGCACCACTTTTTGCTTACTTTTCTGGTTTTAAATAAGCTGCCGAAGGCCACTTTGGGGGGTTGAGGATTTTTTAAAACAAAATTGTGCACGTTCTAAGCATCTGACAGTATTTGATGCTATAATGCCAAAAATTATCAGCATCCGGTCCCCGGACACCTGCCGACCCTCTGCGCTAGTTCTTATAACGAATTACATATATATATAGGTAAATCTTTATCAGAAACTAGCGCTACACAAATTTTATGAACAATACATTAAGAATGTTGTGTGTGGTGCTCGCTGCCGCGCGTGTGGTTGTGCGTGCTTGCGTGCATGCGCGTGTTGTATGTGTGTGTGTGCTGCGCGCGTGCGCGCGTGCTGTGTGTATGATTTTTTTTCCCTTTTTGTGGTAAAAAGGGGGGTCCCGGACCCCCTCGACCCCCCTCTGAATCCGCCCCTGCACAACACACACACGACACACACACACGCACGCTATATAACCACACACACATGCACACTCACACAAGACACCACACACCCATCACACACACTCACACCACACACACAGGCACATCACCACACGTACATACATATAACATGCTACTAACATGCACGACATGCACATTTTCCACCCGTCACGTTTGGCACGTGCCTGTAGCCATGGCCCAGTGCCTAGGGGGTCTCGGGCATGCCCCCCCAGTAAAATTTTGCAAATATTTAAGCCATTTTGGGCCAATATTTGAGCCGTTTTGGGGGGGGGGCGACCGCCCCCACCGCCCCCCCCCCCTGGCTACGCGCCTGTGCGTTAGGTACGATGTTAACCGTGAAGCGTGCCCGAAGGTCTATAATAAGGAGGCGATGTTCAACCACGTTATGAGTTATAGGTAGCCAATTTATTACTGTTCATATGTTGCTATGTGACGTCATCGACGATCTACATATACAGTATCGATACATAAATCTCATATCGTAACATCCCCCTTCCTTTGAAGTTAAATACAATCCCCTTTAACAAACCAAGTTCTAATAAACTGTACAATATAATGCCATTGAACATAACATGAAATGCTATATTTTTCTAAACTTCTTACTCAACCTTGCTTGTTTTAATAACACTTTCATTTAACCAATGTTTGCCCATACTATTATACTGCGGCCATTCGAGAGTGATTAGCATAACAATGTACTCAAGTAGGCTTATATTATTTCAGTGTACTTCCCTATGGTTCCTATAAGATATATTATTAACTCTCAACAAAACCTTAACAGGTAACACATGGATCCAATACTTGCTTGACCCAACAACAAATATAACAATAACGTTCGGCAGTCTTTTGACACTGCCATATTCTTCAACTATATAACACATGGGGGGCAAACTTGGTGCCCTCCCTCTTCCTTAAAAAAAATAAATGCAAAAGAATAATATTTGCTTACATCAACCAAGAAAATCATGTCTCTGACTTCTCATTATATTCGCGTACGTAAACCTGGGTGTATGTTCACTCGGGCTGGTATCTGGCCGGTTTTCGAATTGTGCGACCTGATCGAGTGGTTCTATAATCAGAGTGTGTGTTTGTGTTCGGATTGTCGTGATTGCGCTCTGCGTTGGGTGTGTTTGCGCTATAACTGTCCCTGCTAGTGGATGTGTGATGTTGGTGTGGCAATTTCTTGCGCATGATTGGGCGTACTACTGACCGGAATCTCCCTCAGTGAAGTCACATTCACGTGCTTTATCTCGGCAACGGTTAACAAACTCATCTATCGTTTCCTCGTGCCGTTGCTTGTAGCGCATCAGCTCCAACCTATGTATACGGAAATTTACGTGCACCTTCAACTGTGCTCCTATAGTGGCCCAAATCATTTCCGGCTTTGCGAGGTCAGATTCACTAAGCCCGGACGAATTAAGTCGTTTAAGGCCTTCACCCCCCAAGGGCGATTTTGACTTTGATCGCTTGCTTAGTATGTTCGATATACTTTTCTACATACTTCTCGATATACTTTTCGATATACTTCTCGATACACTTTTCGACATACTCTCGATATACCTTTCGATATACTTCTCGATATCTTTTCGATATACTTTTCGACATACTTCTCGATATTCCTTTCGGTATACTTCTCGATATCTTTTCGATATACTTTTCGATTGTGAGTCTTTATACTGATAACCTGCGCTCGACTGTGATAGTCTGTGATCACCTGCGCTCGACTGTGATAGTCTTTATGCTGATAACCTGCGCTCGACTGTGATAGTCTGTGATCATCTGTGATCGTCTGTGATCGTCTGTGATCGACTGTGATCACCTGCGCTCGACTGTGATAGTCTGTACTGATAACCTGCGCTTTACTGATAACCTGCACTAGACTGTGATCATCTGTGATCGTCTGTGATTATCTGTGATCGTCTGTGGTCGACTGTGATAGTCTGTGATCACCTGCGCTCGACTGTGATAGTCTTTACTGATAACCTGCAGGTACATTACAATTCCTTTTACAATCGCGAACACCAGTAAATATACATCCTATATCTATACATGTATGAAGATACACACATCGCTTGACGTGTATACCGTGTGCCATTAGTATGCAAAGGGACCTACAGCATATTAGCATACAACATACCTTTGCTTGATTCGGTCTACACCCGTCGAGTCTATTTATAGACTTTTCTATTCGCGGGTTTGATACAAAATTAATTGTGCTGCTTGCATTTCAAACTCTAACACACATACTACCGGGACCGCTCGTTTTACTGGCTATGGTATTCCGATCCTACAGGCTATATATGTATTAAGTTCTATAACACTGCCGTTCTTCTTTACTCTTAATGTGTCTATAGTCTTTGGCTGCGCTGGCCTCGATTTCTCCTCCCATTGGCATATGATGCCACTTGCTTTTCCAGATATGTCTTAGATGCGTCCTTTTGTCTACAGCGCGGGCGAAAACGACGGCCTTTTCTTC